GCTCTACCAGCTGAGCTACAGAGGACCACAATCATCATCATGCATCAAGTCGAGCAATCTACTGGCAAATCCTTTTCAATCCTTGTCGTATGAAGATAAATTATAGATAAAACGTATCGGTGCTCATTGGCCATTGGACATAAACATTACAGAACAATTTGGAAATCGCAAATTCATCAATTAGTGGTTTGGAAGGAATCAGTGGCTGACTGCAAGCGTTGCAAAGCAATCACTAACCTGCTATTCGATGGAGAGGGTGTGTGGTTCAAGTCAGGGTTTAAGGGTCTCTTTTCCAAGCTTAAAAGGATAAACATTCACATGCAACACCATGGGCCAGAAAAGTTTGCTGTCAATCCAGCAAGACTTCTGCCGTGTTCAAAACAACTGGAAACTTGAAATTGGGAAATATCAGACTTCAGTGAGCTCAAGACAACTGGGAACTCGGATAAAACTAGCTCAGACTGGGAAAATACGGAAAATAATTTTGAACGGTCAACCAACTCTGAATTTCAAGCCTCTTTCTAGAGCCCACAAGAAGGACCGCCGCGCCACCTTCCTGTTCAAGTGAGCACAACAAGGTAAGTCCAAAAATGTCTTGATTTCTGCTGCATACAGTGCCTTCGGAAAGTATTCAGACCCCTTGACATTTAAAAATTGATTTAAAAATCTACACACAATACCCCATAATGACAAAGCAAAAACAGGCTTTTATAAATTTTTGCTAATGTATAAAAAGAAAAATCACATTTACATAAGTATTCAGACCCCTTACTCAGTACTTTGTTGAAGCACGTTTGGCAGTGATTACAGCATCGAGTCTTCTTGGATATGACACTATAAGCTTGGCATACCTGTACTTGGGGAGTTTCTCCCATTCTTCTCTGCAGATCCTCTCAAGCACTGTCAGGTTGGATGGGGAGCGTTGCTGCACAGCTATTTTCAGGTCTCTCCTGAGATGTTCGATCGGGTTCATGTCCGGGCTCTGGCTGGGCCACTCAAGGACATTCAGAGACTTGTCCCGAAGCCACTCCTACGTTGTCTTGGCTGTGTGCTTAGGCTCATTGTCCTGTTGGAAGGTGAACCTTCGCCCCAGTCTGAGGTCCTGAGCGCACTGGAACAGGTTTTCATCAAGGATTTCTCTGTACTTTGCTCCGTTCATCTTTGCCTCGATCCTGACTAGTCTCCCAGTCAATGGAAACAGGATGCACCTGAGCTCAATTTCGAGTCTCATAGGGTCTGAATACTTATGTAAATAAGGTATTTCTGTTTTCACTTTATCTTTATGGGGTATTGTGTGTAGATAGCTGGGGATTTTATTTATTTAATCCATTTTAGAATAAGGCTGTAACGTAACAAAATGTGAAGGGGTCTGAATACTTTCCGAAGGCACTGTAAATGATATAATATGCCAGGGAGATATGTATACTGTAGCTAAGAAAGTAATACTAAGTGTATGTTGTGTAGTAAGCTGTTAGTAGCCCATGTGCCTCATCCTAATAATTTGCTCCCTTTTCACCTCATAACTTAGCCTACTGTTCTGACTTGGTGGTGCACATTTAGCGTACAGCCTGTTTTAGAGAAATGTCGTCATCGAATATTGTAAGAGCTTTCATTGTCTGCTCATATGCCCCCTTTATTTATCCTACGGTTCTGACTTGGTGTACAGGGAGAATACTGCTGTTGGGACAGCTTTATGTAGGCCCTAACAGTTTTCCGGCACATTTTGTCACCGTTATAGTGCAATTAATGTTGTCAGAGCACCTTACCGATCACTGCACCTGTACACAGCCCATCTGAAATTAGCCCACTCAACAACCTCATCCCCATATTGTTATTTATTTTGCTCATTTGCACCCCAGTATCTCTATTTGCACATAATCTCTTAACAATCTCTAGTGTTAATACTAATTTTAATTATTTTGCACTATGGCCTATTTATTGCCTTACCTCCATAACTTGCTACATTTGCACACACTGTATATATATATTTTCTGTTGTAATTTTGACTTTATGTTTTGTTTTACCCCATATGTAACTCTGTGTTGTTGTTTTTATTGCACTGCTTTGCTTTATCTTGGCCAGGTCGCAGTTGTAAATGAGAACTTGTTCTCAACTGGCTTACCTGGTTAAATAAAGGTGAAATAAAATAAAAAATAAATAAAATGTATTGTTTAGTGTTGTGTAGTGGCTTTGCTGGCATGCATCCCAAAAAATGTGGGGGAGTTTGCCCCACCAAGATTTACATGCTAAAATCGCCACTGGTCACATGCACCTACTTTTAATGTAATCTCAACTGCAATCCAGGTCCCCCTTTCCCAAAAGCATTTAATGGATAAATTCATAGTTAGAACCTTCGTAGGAGCATCGTTAAATCTCCCAGCTGTTTCCCAAAACCACCATTACTAAAGTTTCATTGAAAAACGCCAGTCATTTACCGACTGCCTCAGACCACTCATGGAACATCTAAGTGCATCGTTAGATGCGTATTTGCCCTTCCGCATCACTTTATACACAGAAGATATCCTCTAAACATAGAATCAAGATGTTTATCTGTCAGTCTGTGACCACCGATAACTTCACAATGAAGTTGACTAGACAAATACAAAGTTGCCAATGTCGATGCAATTGTTACAAACAAGGGGAAGATGAAAAAATGCTTCAACTGAAAACCGAGATGACTGCATTAAAAGATGAATAGCCTCTAGTATAGGCTACATAGGTCTATATACATGGAGTGTACAAAACATGAGGAACACCTGCTCTTTCCATGACATAGACTGACCAAGTGAATCCAGGTGGAAGCTATGATCCCTAATTGTTGTCACCTGTTTAATCCACTTCAATCAGTGTAGATGAATGGAGGAGACAGGTTAATGAAGGATTTTTTATCCTTGAGACAATTGAGACATGGATTGTGTATGTGTGCCATTCAGAGGGTGAATGGGCAAGACAGAATATTTAAGTGCCTTTGAACAGGGTATGGTAGAAGGTGCCAGGCGCACTGGTTTCAGTGTGTCAAGAACTCCAATGCTGCTGGGTTTTTCACGCTCAACAGTTTCACATGTGTACAGTGAGGGGAAAAAGTATTTGATCCCCTGCTGATTTTGTACGTTTGCCCACTGACAAAGACATGATCAGTCTATAATTTTAATGGTAGGTTTATTTGAACAGTGAGAGACAGAATAACAACAACAAAAATCTAGAAAAAAGCATGTCAAAATTGTTATGAATTGATTTTCATTTTAATGAGGGAAATAAATATTTGACCCCTCTGCAAAACATGACTTAGTACTTGGTGGCAAAACCCTTGTTGGCAATCACAGAGGTCAGACATTTCTTGTAGTTGGCCACCAGGTTTGCACACATCTCAGGAGGGATTTTGTCCCACTCCTCTTTGCAGATCTTCTCCAAGTCATTAAGGTTTCGAGGCTGACGTTTGGCAACTCGAACCTTCAGCTCCCTCCACAGATTTTCTATGGGATTAAGGTCTGGAGACTGGCTAGGCCACTCCAGGACCTTAATGTGCTTCTTCTTGAGCCACTCCTTTGTTGCCTTGGCCGTGTGTTTTGGGTCATTGTCATGCTGGAATACCCATCCACAACCCATTTTCAATGCCCTGGCTGAGGGAAGGACGTTCTCACCCAAGATTTGACGGTACATGGCCCCATCCATCGTCCCTTTGATGCGGTGAAGTTGTCCTGTCCCCTTAGCAGAAAAACACCCCCAAAGCATAATGTTTCCACCTCCATGTTTGACAGTGGGGATGGTGTTCTTGGGGTCATAGGCAGCATTCCTCCTCCTCCAAACACGGCGAGTTGAGTTGATGCCAAAGAGCTCGATTTTGGTCTCATCTGACCACAACACTTTCACCCAGTTCTCCTGAATCATTCAGATGTTCATTGGCAAACTTCAGACGTCCCTGTATATGTGCTTTCTTGAGCAGGGGGACCTTGCGGGTGCTGCAGGATTTCAGTCCTTCACGGCGTAGTGTGTTACCAATTGTTTTCTTGGTGACTATGGTCCCAGCTGCCTTGAGATCATTGACAAGATCCTCCTGTGTAGTTCTGGCCTGATTCGTCACCGTTCTCATGATCATTGCAACTCCACGAGGTGAGATCTTGCATGGAGCCCCAGGCCGAGGGAGATTGACAGTTATTTTGTGTTTCTTCCATTTGCGAATAATCGCACCAACTGTTGTCACCTTCTCACCAAGGTGCTTGGCGATGGTCTTGTAGCCCATTCCAGCCTTGTGTAGGTCTACAATCTTGTCCCTGACATCCTTGGAGAGCTCTTTGGTCTTGGCCATGGTGGAGAGTTTGGAATCTGATTGATTGATTGCTTCTGTGGACAGGTGTCTTTTATACAGGTAACAAACTGAGATTAGGAGCACTCCCTTTAAGAGTGTGCTCCTAATCATAGCTCGTTACCTGTATAAAAGACACCTGGGAGCCAGAAATATTTCTGATTGAGAGGGGGTCAAATACTTATTTCCCTCATTAAAATGCAAATCAGTTTATAACATTTTTGACATTCGTTTTTCTGGATTTTTGTTGTTGTTATTCTGTCTCTCACTGTTCAAATAAACCTACCATTAAAATTATAGACTGATCATTTCTTTGTCAGTGGGCAAACGTACAAAATCAGCAGGGGATCAAATACTTTTTTCCCTCACTGTATTAGATGAAGAACATTGATAACACATTAATCTGTTGTATAAATAAAGAAAATATCTGACATTGTATTCCCATTTGAACTTTGCTGTGCTTTTAAATGGTTGAAAGCGCCGAGATAGACATTTGGGTGAGAACTAAACTAAAAATCAGATTGTTTTTCTATTGGAATTTTGTTTTGCTTTTAGATGGTTGAAAGCATAGTGATAACACAATGGAAATTCAACTAACTTTTGGCTGTCTTTTTGAGTGAGTGGATATAGGTTGTTAATTAATTTATCAACATCATAACCAAATATGACCCAATTCTCCCAGTGGGAATACCATGGGGTAGGGTCCACTTTTCTTACACAGACAGTGTTTTAATCAGAATACATTCATTATGATTATACAAGATCTGATTATTATGAAAGGGAAAGAAAGGTCCGATAACATCCAACAGTAATGGTCTCACCGAACTGTCAAAGCAGATTCCGCCCTATCACTCATCTTAAAACTTTCTAAACATTTGCTTACTCTTTTCCAGTAATTATAATTTTTTCTTCTCAGAAAATATGAAACAACATTGTATCTATCTGTAATTACATACTTATTACAAGGTAATTCATCCATTGCATTGACACAATTATACACACATTATAATGAGCATCAATCTATTTACAGGTACATTTCATTTAATATGCTTGTATAGCCTCCCTGTATGTAAGCATACAACAACTTCAAGAGGTCTGGACCTTTATGGCACAGATTTAGTGAGATTTCTCTGTAACCATAGGGTTGCTGGTTCAAGACCCCCCTTCAGCTTTTCCCACTCAATCATTACACTAGTTTCACACGGGAACCAAAGCCCCACACACTGAAGGCAGGGTAGAGAGGCTCCATGAAGGCGGTCTGTACTTTGTGAAGGAGGTTCATGCTATCAGACACACTGTAAAATGCCAGAGTCCCCTTTATCTGGTCCACATACACACCTACCCTTGAGGACCTGGGCTTGGCTATATCTGTGCTCTGGTTCTTGTGCACAAAGGAATATTTGTCCTCAGAGCAGTACAGGCTCCAGGACTTGTCGTTCCACCCCAGGCTGCATTCATTGTTGTTGCCCTTGCGGTTGATGCTCTGGTAGGTGACGGCGATGTCTATTTCCGTTCCTCTCCAGTCCACCTCCCAGTAGCAGCGACTCCCTGACAGACCCTCCTTACACAGCAGCTGGGATGGAAGAGAGTTGAGTTGAATTGAATTAATTTAGTTAATTGGATATGAATCTGACCATCCGCCCACCCACCATGCAATGAAAAATATTATATGAAACTATGAGAAAGCCCTATCCTTTCCTAGTCTGAGTCATGTGACGTCACACAAGAGCAAAAAACATTTCCTCTTACCTGCTGCCAGTGGTCGAACCTGTCTGGATGGTCTGGGTAGTTCTTGGGTTCGCTCATCATCTTGGCTACAGTGTTGCCCTCAGACAGGTACAGGTTGGGGTGGGCACTGTTGACATCCAGGGTTGGTTGGACCAGGTCTGGAACAGAGGGATAAAAGCTTTAGAATAGAAAGATAGACCAAACAATAAATACTGTGGCAATTTCAGGGGGGTAGCCCCAACCAGGACTTGATCGCAGGACCCTGAAACTGTCAATCCAACACTTAACATTTACACCAGGGGGTTTGAACAAGATAGACCAAACAATGACCAAACAAGGCCCTACATCAGAAGAACTACCAGTGTAATATGCTGTTTAATTATGCTGTTGTTTTCCTTATAGTTGCCTAGGAGTAACGACTTATAGAGTTGAAGTTCCAGTTGCAGTTCTCTCTTATTAAAAGAGAAGGAACTCTGTCCTGTGACACATGATTAGGTGTCAATATTGCGTAACTGTCTGTTTAATCATATATCTTCAGTGTTTTTCCACCGCTGGGAGCGACACCTTTATGGATGGTTTTCACCTAACCTGTTCTGCAGATACAAAGACTATCTCTGTCACTGTGGCACACTGGTTTCCATGCCAGTTTCATCCATCATGCTCATGTGACCATACAACAGGAAATTCGTGTTACATTTACTTCCTTCCTTCAAATGAATATGAGTGTCTGCCGTTACAGGACACAGGGCACAAATTAGAATAGACACACTGTTATTAAATAAAAAAACGGGTTAAAATGACTCACATTTCTTGAAATCTTCTCTTGTCTTAGGTTCTGTATATTCTCTTCTCTTGGTTTCTAGTTCTTCCCGTGCCATAGGTTCTAGTGGTTGGATAATATGGACCTCTTTGACTGTGGAGACAGACAGACAGACAGACCGCTGTAATAAATATTAAATAGGGAATAAATAGGCTACTGTGAAAACGGAATGAATCTAAACACTAATTTGCCAACATAGCATGACATACATTGTAAAGAATAACAAGAGCAAAGTCAACCAAAAAGAAGAAATCACTGTGTGTTGAGGTAACTAACCTGCAGAGGCGATTTTGCTGATTTCCGTCTTGTTGATTTCCTCCACTTGCACCTTCAACGCAGCGATGGCTCTCTTGGCTCCATCGAAGGAGTAGTATGGCGCGACAGTGACATTGTTTAGATCCTCATACCCAGAGGGACCAGACAGAGACTGCCAGCTCTAGAGGAACGATGGAGAACAGGTGGGAAAAGAGGAGCATGATGATGACTTTGAGCAATTCAGTCAAATATCCACATTGATGATGCAACATAATACTCTAATTAATTAAGCTGAAATTAAGTTCGAATTAAGTTGAAAGGACAGGTGAAACAATGTTATTTCAATCCACTTTTGCCCAGTATACATTCAGTGCCTGGTGGGAAGTCTGATACTCCAGCTTTATCACGTTCCTGTGCCTGTTCCAGTAGCCAAGTGAATACAAGACTATGAAGTCTGGCAGTGTGAGACTGTAACTGTACATTATACCAACCTGTAGAAAGTGTATGTGGTCGTCAGTGTGGGAGAGTTTCTCCAGGTCGGTGTGTTTCTTCCTCAGCAGAGTTATCTCTTCCTCCAGGCGGGCCAGTAGTCCCTCAGCTTGGATCACCGTGGTCTTCTCCTGGGCTCGCACCAGCTCCCTCACCTCTATGTACCTTCTCTCTATGGAGCGCAGCAGCTCTGTGAAGATACGCTCGTTCTCATCCAACACCGCCTGGGCAGAGTGCTGTATGGGGGTAAATAGAGGGAGAGATAAAAGAGCAGGAGTAAATGAAAGAGGGGACATGTAAGCGAGAAAGAGGAAGGGGAAAAAGGGGAGGTTAAAGAGAGAGGGACATTCCCAGTTTGTTAGGAGTCTCTTGCAAGTTTTGGGGGGGTTTATTGAAGTGATTTAAAATAATAAGTTCTCCCACCCACTGCTTGCATGCAAAGGTTCATAATTTTTTTACACACCTTGACTGACTCCACAGCCTGGCGAAGGTCTGTCCACTTCTTCACTCTCTGATCAATCCTCTGCTGAGACTTCATTAGAGTGAATCCCAGCTGTTTCTGTAAGGGACAACATTTACACAACGTTATAGGAGCATCAACATATGAACCAGGCCTATGATGGATGTCATAATGTCTTATGTAGCTGTTATAAAGGCTTTACGAATGCATAGGGGGTGTAAAAAAGGCCAGCTGTCTGAGGCTGGACTTTTTTTTTAAAAGGGGGACTTGAGTATAGTGTTACCAAAACTAACTTGTTTCTCAATCCTCTCAGTGCCAGCTGGCACAGTGTCGTGGCGCTTGTGTTCGTCCATCATGCAGAGGACACAGACTGAGGTCTGGTCGGTGCGGCAGAACACCTCCAGCAGCTTGTCGTGCTGGGCACAGATCTTCTCCCTCATCTGGCCTGTGGCCTTCACCAGCTTGTGTTTCATCAAGGCTGGGTATTCATAGTGGGACTGGAGGTGGGTCTCACAGTAGGAGGCCAGGCACAGTAGGCAGGACTTCACAGCCTTAAGAAGAAGACGACACGACAGGTTTTATATGACACTTTTACAGGGCCCAAAGACACTTTACAATATAGAACAAAAAGATAAACAAAATAATTTCAAACAATGTTATGGAGGTGGCAGGTAGCCTATAGCAGTTAAGCGTGTTGGGCCAGTAACCAAAAGGTCGCTGGTACGAATCCCCGAGCTGACTAGGTGAAACATCTGTTGTTGTGCCCTTGAGCAAGGCATTTAATCCTAATTGCTCCCGTAAATCGCTCTGGATAAGAGCGTCTGCTAAATGACCAAAAATATGTCAAAAATAAACATTTAAAAAAGAAAAGAAAACAGATTTCTAAACCAAACCTTCTGTTTCCGCGTGGTGCAGAAGTCACACAGGACGTCACCTGGCTTGGAGGTTTTGGGCTGAGCCTGGGAACTCAGGCTAGTGGAGCGCCGTTGGGCGTTCCCTCCCAAAGTGCTGTACTTGCTGGTAATGTCCAGGTCCAAGGTGCTGGCACGATGAGACATCTCTCCTGAGACAAGTAGTAGTCAGATCCTCAGGTAGACGTGAGATCCCTAAAAGTGAGGTCCTCAGGTGAAATCCACAGGTAAATGAGCAGTACAGATTTAAAGGTGGTGTCAGAAGGTAAACGTGAGGTCCAAAGATTAAATCCACAGGTAAAAGTGAGACCCACAAGTAAAAAGTTCAAGTTGAGTTTCCACATTTAAATTAGGTAAGATCCACTGGTAAATTAGGTGAAGAATGTTCACATATGTAGGAGATGGGATCCGTAGGTAAATGAGAAATCCACAGAGATAGATGTTGACAAGTGGTTGGTTTCAGTGAAACTGTGTGACTGGAATGTATGTGCTTGAGAGAGCAAGATTGTCAGTAATGAAGCCTGGTCACTGGGCTAAACCAGTCCTCCTGGTTGGATATTTAAAGGCTGGAGAGGTGTGGCTCTTCACTGCACACAGGTGCTGCCTTTCACAAAAAGTTTCAAAAACAAGGAAAACACTAAAACAAGGTGGTATTTCACAAAGAAGGATCAATGAGTTGGCTAGCAAACTTGTTTAAACACCTATAAATAACTTCCTTTTATGGTTTGTAAAAGAAGAAGCCAAAGTTCAATATACTGAGAGAATCTGTCAATTATACTATGCCCAACTAAAATGTATACAGTGGGGGGAAAAACTATTTAGTCAGCCACCAATTGTGCAAGTTCTCCCACTTAAAAAGATGAGAGAGGCCTGTAATTTTCATCATAGGTACACGTCAACTATGACAGACGAATTGAGAAAAGAAAATCCAGAAAATCACATTGTAGGATTTGTAATGAATTTATTTGCAAATTATGGTGGAAAATAAGTATTTGGTCACCTACAAACAAGCAAGATTTCTGGCTCTCACAGACCAGTAACTTCTTCTTTAAGAGGCTCCTCTGTCCTCCACTCGTTACCTGTATTAATGGCACCTGTTTGAACTTGTTATCAGTATAAAAGACACCTGTCCACAACCTCAAACAGTCACACTCCAAACTCCACTATGGCCAAGACCAAAGAGCTGTCAAAGGACACCAGAAACAAAATTGTAGACCTGCACCAGGCTGGGAAGACTGAATCTGCAATAGGTAAGCAGCTTGGTTTGAAGAAATCAACTGTGGGAGCAATTATTAGGAAATGGAAGACATACAAGACCACTGATAATCTCCCTCGATCTGGGGCTCCACGCAAGATCTCACCCCGTGGGGTCAAAATGATCACAAGAACGGTGAGCAAAAATCCCAGAACCACACGGGGGGACCTAGTGAATGACCTGCAGAGAGCTGGGACCAAAGTAACAAAGCCTACCATCAGTAACACACTACGCCGCCAGGGACTCAAATCCTGCAGTGCCAGACGTGTCCCCCTGCTTAAGCCAGTACATGTCCAGGCCCGTCTGAAGTTTGCTAGAATGCATTTGGATGATCCAGAAGAGGATTGGGAGAATGTCATATGGTCAGATGAAACCAAAATATAACTTTTTGGTAAAAACTCAACTCGTCGTGTTTGGAGGACAAAGAATGCTGAGTTGCATCCAAAGAACACCATACCTACTGTGAAGCATGGGGGTGGAAACATCATGCTTTGGGGCTGTTTTTCTGCAAAGGGACCAGGACGACTGATCCGTGTAAAGGAAAGAATGAATGGGGCCATGTATCGTGAGATTTTGAGTGAAAACCTCCTTCCATCAGCAAGGGCATTGAAGATGAAACGTGGCTGGGTCTTTCAGCATGACAATGATCCCAAACACACCGCCCGGGCAACGAAGGAGTGGCTTCGTAAGAAGCATTTCAAGGTCCTGGAGTGGCCTAGCCAGTCTCCAGATCTCAACCCCATAGAAAATCTTTGGAGGGAGTTGAAAGTCCGTGTTGCCCAGCGACAGCCCCAAAACATCACTGCTCTAGAGGAGATCTGCATGGAGGAATGGGCCACAATACCAGCAACATTGTGTGAAAACCTTGTGAAGACTTACAGAAAACGTTTGACCTGTGTCATTGCCAACAAAGGGTATATAACAAAGTATTGAGAAACTTTTGTTATTGACCAAATACTTATTTTCCATCATAATTTGCAAATAAATTCATTAAAAATCCTACATTGTGATTTTCTGGATTTTTTTTCCTCATTTTGTCTGTCATAGTTGGCGTGTACCTATGATGAAAATTACAGGCCTCTCTCGTCTTTTTAAGTGGGAGAACTTGCACAATTGGTGGCTGACTAAATACTTTTTTTCCCCACTGTAAATTATAGGGAGAGTTCATCAATGAGCTTGACGCCTTGATAAGTTCCTTTCCTGAGGATGGCTCACCCCTCACAGTTCTGGGTGACTTTAACCTCCCTACGTCTACCTTTGACGCATTACTCTCTGCCTCCTTCTTTCCACTCCTCTCCTCTTTTGACCTCACCCTCTCACCATCCCCCCTACTCACAAGGCAGGCAATACGCTTGACCTCATCTTTACTAGATGCTGTTCTTCTACTAATCTCACTGCAACTACCCTCCATTTCTCCGACCACTACTTTGTATCCTTTTCTCTCTCGCTCTCCTCCAACACTACTCACTCTGCCCCTACTCAGATGGTAATGCGCCGTCGCAACCTTCGCTCTCTCTCTCCCGTTACTCTCTCCTCTTCCATCCTATCATCTCTTCCCTCTGGTCAATCCTTCTCCCTCCAATCTCCTGATTCTGCCCCCTCAACCCTCCTCTCCTCCCTTTCTGCATCCTTTGACTCTCTATGTCCCCTATCCTCCCGGCCAGTTTGGTCCTCCCCTCCTGCTCCGTGGCTTGACGACTCATTGCGAGCTCACAGAACAGGGCTCCGGGCAGCCGAGCGGAAATGGAGGAAAACTAGACTCCCTGCGGACCTGGCATTTTTTCACTCCCTCCTCTCTACATTTTCTTCCTCTGTTTCTGCTGCTAAAGGCACTTTCTACCACTCTAAATTCCAAGCATCTGCCTCTAACCCTAGGAAGCTCTTTGCCCCCATCTCCTCCCTGCTGAATCCTCCCTCCCCTCCTCCCTCTCTGTGGATGACTTCGTCAACCATTTTGAAAAGAAGGTTGACGACATCCGATCCTCGTTTGTTAAGTCAAATGACACTGCTGGTCCTGCTCACACTGCCCTACCCTATGCTTTGACTTCTTTCTCCCCTCTCTCTCCAGATGAAATTTTGCAACTTGTGACAGCCGGCCGCCCAACAACCTGCCCGCTTGACCCTATCCCCTCCTCTCTTCTCCAGACCATTTCCGGAGACCTTCTGCTTTACCTCACCTCGCTCATCAACTCATCCTTGACCGCTGGCTATGTCCCTTCCGTCTTCAAGAGAGCGAGAGTTGCACCCCTTCTCAAAAAACCTACACTCGATCCCTCCGATGTCAACAACTACAGACCAGTATCCCTTCTTTCTTTTCTCTCCAAAACTCTTGAGCGTGCTGTCTTTAGCCAACTCTCTTGCTATCTCTCTCAGAATGACCTTCTTGATCCAAACCAGTCAGGTTTCAAGACTGGTCATTCAACTGAGACTGCTCTTCTCTGTGTCACGGTAGCTCTCCGCACTGCTAAAGCTAACTCTCTAATCTTGTCCTTCTAGACCTGTCTGCTGCCTTTGATACTCTGAACCATCAGATCCTCCTCTCCACCCTCTCTGAGTTGGGCATCTCCGATGTCAACAACTACAGACCAGTATCCCTTCTTTCTTTTCTCTCCAAAACTCTTGAGCGTGCTGTCTTTAGCCAACTCTCTTGCTATCTCTCTCAGAATGACCTTCTTGATCCAAACCAGTCAGGTTTCAAGACTGGTCATTCAACTGAGACTGCTCTTCTCTGTGTCACGGTAGCTCTCCGCACTGCTAAAGCTAACTCTCTAATCTTGTCCTTCTAGACCTGTCTGCTGCCTTTGATACTCTGAACCATCAGATCCTCCTCTCCACCCTCTCTGAGTTGGGCATCTCCGGCGCGGCTCACTCTTGGATTGCGTCCAAGCAAGTCGCTCCTACCAAGTGGCGTGGCGAGAATCTGTCTCCGCACCACGTGCTCTCACCACTGGTGTCCCCCAGGACTCAGTTCTAGGCCCTCTCCTATTCTCGCTATACACCAAGTCACTTGGCTCTGTCATATCCTCACATGGCCTCTCCTATCATTACTACGCAGACGACACACAACTAATCTTCTCCTTTCCCTTTTCTGATAACCAGGTGGCGAATCGCATCTCTGCATGTCTGGCAGACATATCAGTGTGGATGACGGATCACCACCTCAAGCTGAACCTCGGCAAGACGGAGCTGCTCTTCCTCCCGGGGAAGGACTGCCCATTCCATGATCTCGCCATCACAGTTGACAACTCCGATGTGTCCTCCTCCCAGAGTGCAAAAAGCCTTGGCGTGACCCTGGACAACACCCTGTCATTCTCCGCTAACATCAAGGTGGTGACCCGATCCTGTAGGTTCATGCTCTACAACATTCGGAGAGTACGACCCTGCCTTACACAAGAAGTGGCACAGGTCCTAATCCAGGCACTTGTCATCTCCTGTCTGGATTACTGCAACTCGCTGGTGGCTGGGCTCCCTACCTGTGCCATTAAACCCCTACAACTCATCCAGAATGCCGCAGCCCGTCTGGTGTTCAACCTTCCCAAATTCTCTCACGTCACCCCGCTCCTCCGCACACTCCACTGGCTTCCAGTTGAAGCTCGCATCTGCTACAAGACCATGGTGCTTGCCTACAGAGCTGTGAGGGGAATGGCACCTCCGTACCTTCAGGCTCTGATCAGTCCCTACACCCAAACGAGGGCACTGTGTTTATCCACCTCTGGCCTGCTGGCCCCCCTACCTCTGCGGAAGCACAGTTCCCGCTCAGCCCAGTCAAAACTCTTCGCTGCTCTGGCACCCCAATGGTGGAACAAGCTCCCTCACAACGCCAGGACGGCGGAGTCACTCACCACCTTCCGGAGACACTTGAAACCCCACCTCTTTAAGGAATACCTGGGAT